TTGCCTTGTGAAATGAACACACACCCGTTCGCTCAAAATTTAATCGTTGACCCGGCGATTCGGGGACAACACCGTTTTCAACAGTTACTCGGGAGAAGAAGTTGGCCCTTTCCCACTATACACGGCGCTAACTCAACACGAACTGATCAACAATTGAACCAAGACCCCTATTCCCCGGCCCGGCTCGGGTAGTTCTTTTCATCTTGCGGCGCGTGGCGTTGTGGCTGTGCACTACCTCATTCACGTTGTAAATCACAACGAAATCATGAAGGTGGTGGTCATATGCATGGTAAGCAACCAAGGGCCATCAAATCCTGCCAAATTGATTTTCACTTTCGGCCGAGGTGCGCACATGTTCTTGAGAGACAAATGAAAGCCATACACCCATGAGGATAGCTCTTTGTTTGGGGATTCAGTAACAACTGGTTAGGCCACTAAAAGACTCCCATCAGTGACAGCCAACCAAACCCAGATTTAGTTTCGCTCACATTGGACAGCCCAAATAGACTGAAAGCCCGGTTCTAAGAGTCACTGGAAGTGTAAAGGCTGATTCTGTGACCTGGTATTTTCCCCGGTCGCCCTTTCGTGTCTCCTGGCCGACAGTTCAATCCAAATTCGAACCGTGAGAATTGTGTAGATGCCGGCTGATTGGCGGGCTCGGCAGATGCTCGGCCAACCTCGAACATGAACCACGAACGCAACAAATGCTCAGGTTCTGTAACTGAGAGCACATGATATTTTATAAAAAATGTTTTCATACCTCCAACCAGCCCAAGACGCTCACAACCTTTGGAACCAGGCAACTCCATTTAGCAGAGGTATATGCCGAAACCTATGAGATCAAAGGATACGAGCAACAGGCAAGTTGAGAATTAAGAGGGTCCGGGATACATTATATAACGATGACAGCCAACAAAGTGAAGAGAACACTACGTCCCTCCCGCAGTTCATGACTTCAGACGGACTAAACCCTGATTACTAGACAGTAAATCTCACTTTCCGATCTTTGTATCGACTCACATATGTTCAGGGAGAGCATCGACATTCCCCGGGCGGCGGCGGCGAACCAGGCCAATGTTTCCCACGTGACCTATAAATTATGTCAGAAATTAAAACATAGTTCTTTGGAGGTAGCGCACCCATGCCAAGCGCATTAAGAATGCCATGCTCTTCCTCCACGCGCATGAGTACCTGACGCTCGTGTTCGGCCTCTATAATACGCTGAACGAAATTATTTTGAGGACCAATCACCCGATAATGACTACTCACCAAGACCGACGTCTGTATGTCCTTCATCTTCTTGTTGCGCTTCGTAAGAGTCTTGAATATTCCTCGGAAGTCTTGGAAATATTCTTTCCACGTTCCAAGGCTGTCCATATCTAACAGTTGACCCCGAATTCCAGGCACCGACACCTCAACCCTGTAAAACGCAAGTTATACGGCGGGTTGAACAAATGAACGGCGCACAACGTACTGAGTTAGTTGACACCCAATCTCCGTTAATTCCATCAAGTCCATCGGGCAGTTCGCCTTCGCGTGGTTTAAAGTATTTCGAAGGGTCTTGATTGTGTTTTCGAGTCGCGAGACCATACGCGATGGAATGTAGTGATCGACAGTGTACGCGACCAGCAATACCGGTAAGAGGCCCAAAATCATATATCGGAGGGTGTTGCCCAGTGCGGGAGATATCAACCACAAGATTATGGTCACAATGTGCGGTGCATATCAGTGATGCAGAAGTAGGAGGGAATGATGGGTGCACTCATTTAAATATGTAGCGGCGAGGGCGCGGGGTCCGAGCGGGGGCTCGGAGTCGCGGACCCCGCGCCCAGCGCCGGCGTTCTAATTTCAGCTTCAATAGGGTGGTCGGCGGCGGCTGCCACTGATCGCATCGCCTACGATCACTCCCGGTCACCCGGTTCAAACTTTACTAGGCGGGTGCCGAGGCCAATAAGACATGCCGAGGGCAACCGGCTGATTGTGCTTCATCGGCATCCAATGCATTCGGAAATGAATGAATGAATTCAATGCGGGCCAATAGGAATCCCTGATTCGGTTTCCGCGTCCCCCGCCGGAGCGAAGCGGAGGAATTATCTTGTCTTCTTTATAATAAAACGGTAAATTATATTAACGAACATCGAAGAACATTCGATGTCCCACGCCCACGGTCGCGACCAAAGTCAAGCATCCCAGGCCGGTGTATCCCAAAGTTCAACCTGGTTCAACGCGAACGCAGTTCGGTGGAATTAAACCTCTGTCAGTTAGGGATTCAGAAGGAACCGTGGGGGCATTGGGAACAGGAACAACTTTGATTTCAAAGAAGTGCGCAAGAACGTTCAATTTAACCGATGGATGGACTTTGAAGGTAATTTAACAAGAAAACAACAGCTTTAGAAGCGGAATGCAAGGCTGGAAGTACTCACACAAGGGCTGGAGAGGGGGACACACCGGGAACTGGAGAACAACGGTGTCCTGACAGGGATTGAAGGGCGGGAAGCTGAGAAAGGAAATTTGAGGGGAGAGGGGTAGCCGTTGGGAACGGGGGATCGACCAGGTGGAGCGGGGACGAATATGTTCAGGAATTCGGAAGCTGAAAGACCGGGGCGGGCAGCTGCAATGGCAATGGGCAGGGAACTGAAAGAGGAAAGAGGAGCGAGCAAAGAGTGGGTGTGGGGAACGAGATGTCAGAAAGTCTGGGAGGTGGGTGCCCGTCCATAAATTAAGGTTTTATCTAGTGTGTACATAAAATAAGGTCGTTCAAAGGGTATGTTGTGCTTTGTATCAGACCTACTCAGATGATTAGATCGACATTCACCCACAAGTTCTCCCGTTGGTGAATTTGACCCCTAACTCATGCGTACCCCTGGCCTCAGCACTGTTGTCATTCCCTTCCCAATTCTATACACGGCGCTCAGGAACTCAACACGAACTGATCAACAATCGAACCAAGACCCCTATTCCCGGCCCGGCTCGGGGACTTTGCGCGGCGTTGTGGCTGTGCAGCTGAGGATCTACCTCTCGCGTCATCTTCTGCGGCAAGTCCACCTCGATGTCCGCGCGGAATGCGGCGCCGCCCAGCGACAAGTTCGCCCTCGACAAGCCCACCTTTTGCGGCACCATTACCGAGGCGCGCTATACCGCTCGCGAGCGGCGGGAGGCCCGTGCGGAGACGCCACAGCCATGGGTCGTGCGGAAGCTTATGGTGGTTTTTACACTCGGAATCATGATTTACACTGGTTATGTGTATGCGGGACGCTTCGTCGTGCGGCTCATCGATGGGGGTCGACGCGGAGAGGGGAGTGAGTTTTTTTACCTCGGTCGGATTTGTGTGGGGCGGAGTGCTGACGAATTCTTTCCGGACAGTCGGTCTACTCGTTCCATGGTGTTTCCTGTATATATGGATGCTGTGGGCGTACGTGAAGGTAACTCGAGACTCCTCCTTTATTATGTTGCTAACGCACCCTCCAGGTGATAATCACACCTCCAGGGACTGCAAACGACGTGCGTACATTTAACCACACATGCATTCACGAGGTCCTCATAATAATCCGCAGTACGTCGAAAAAACGCCACAACCCCTCTTCCCGCGCGCGCAATTGGAGGCGCACCAGGCCGACCAGGATTTATACTACGGCGGACGTACCGCGGCGCTCGAGGACATCGAGGCGGGTCGCATCGGAGGGCCTGCGTACGAGCACATTCAGGGTAGCGCCGTTGCAGTTAACCCAGATGCGCCGACGGAGCCCCCTGCGGCGCGTCTCGGCGTGACGCGGGAGATCCAGATCCCTGAGAATGGGTACAAACCTACGCTCCCCCCACCTCCTCCGCGCCGGAAATCTTCGTGGGGCAGTAAGGAAGAGACCAGTGGTAAGCGTGTACCGCGTGGTCGTTTCCCCCCGACGACTGCGCCCCTGCTGCCGCCCCATCGATGGTGTAAGCGGTGCTCCATCGTGAAGCCCTACCGGGCGCACCATTGTCGTATTTGTGGCACGGCAAGTAGTACCCGTCTACTCTATGGTACGCCTGCTGATCAGCGTTTAGTGCATCCTCAAATTCGACCACCACTGCCCCTGGATCGGCCAATGTGTTGGCGCACGCAACCACAAGGTACCCCCCTTCCTCCGTCGCTCCTTTTCTTATTCAATCAACCAACACCCCTAGTTCTTCCTCAACTTCGCCTTCGCGACCTTCATCTTCACCACCTTCACCTTCGCCTCGCTCCTCTCCTGGAACGCGAACAGCGCCCTGACGCACGGGGGCGATGACGTCGACCCGCAGGAGGTCGTGATCATCGCCCTCGCGGCGCTCTTCGCGCTCTTCACCTCCTCGCTCGGCGTCGCGCACACGCGTATGGTGCTCCTCTCGCAGACGACGGTCGAGAATCTCGGCGTACAGCGCATGCGCGAGCACGAGCGCGCGGGCCTCGAGGCCGCGGGGGTCGCGTGCTGGAACGTCGGCGCGAAGCGGCGCGCGCTGGAGGCGTACGACGAGGAGTGGGGGTCGCCGAACACGGAGGGGAACGTGTGGTGGGCGGGGTCGGCACGCGCGGGGTGGGAGGACGTTATGGGGAAGAATGTGGTGGGGTGGGTGTGTGAGTATTCTTCGGTTCTTCGCGTTAGTTTGATACTCACAACAACACAGTGCCCATCGGCGCACCCCTGGGTGACGGTCTCCACTACCAGCCCAATCCACGTTTCGACGCGGACGGGCGCTGGCGGCGGCGGAGCGAGTGGCCTGCAGAGCTGCGGTAGCGGCCAGTACTAGCTTTCGAGGTGTTATATGTACGAAGCTTGGGGTTAAGGGGACTCATTTCACGATTAATACGATTTATCTGGACTCTGGACTGGTGCCAGCTGGCAATAGATGTAGGATGCCCAATGCATGTACACGACAATCACAATTAACACGCATACGATCCTGCGCGAAAAAGGTGTACTTACATATATGTCAGGGAAAATGAGGAGAGACAAGGGGAGGGGGACCAGAAAGCAGTAAAAGGATACACTGAAGGGGAGTCGAACCCCTGCCGCTTGCTTACCGCTAACAATGGAAGGCAAGCATGATAACCGCTTCACCATCAGTGTTCGACAGTTGGGCGCAGTGCATGGTCTAACATGGGCGAACGATTCGATCGGACTCGAATCCCAAACGGGAAAGAGGCGATCAGATCCGCGTTGATGCGATAGTTGGTTTAAGAAGTTCAATTAAAGTCCTACTAAGAGCTAATAAACTAAATGTATGGTGACCACTCGAATTGGATAAAATGAATTTATGCCGACCAAAACTCCGCACGGATACTTACATGGACATGGTAAGTTACTCGCCGGCGGGTATGTAAGTGCTTACCTGGTGGTCGAGGATTAGTTTCCTACATGCTGCAAAGTGACAATTTCGGCCCAGAAATCCTCCGTAAAACTGCCACAATACGTGGTAATCCCCACATCCCTTGTCCCTCTTGTATTCATTCAAAGCCGAATATCTTTGCAGCCGCCCTCCTTTGACGCTCATTATCTTACGAATCCCGCCCGCTATCGCAATCACCTTCGCCTCGCCTCTCTCGGCTTTGCTTATGCAATCCACTGATTCCCGATGATTCACTCCGGCGCGGAATTCTGCATCTATGAGCTCTGTCCTGGGACCAACGTGAGAAAGACAACATTCGAGAACGAATAAAGTACTTACCTCTCAGGCAGGCCGGCGCAGGCGTGCAACGAGGACGACATGCTTGATGAAGCGTAGGACTGGCGGGGTGCAGAAAAGCCAGAAAGAATTTTGTAAAGCCGGTAAAAGCAAAGTACACACCAGATCCGCCGGATTACGACTCTAGCCGGCAAATATGAAGGCGATGTCAGCGGGAGTTGAAACCAATGTGCGCAATGAGCGCGGCATGGAGACATCGGGCGGGCGGGGTCGACAGTATCTGAGGTAGTATCTCGATCATTTCGGTGTTGAAGTAGAGACAAGAAGCTGTCGAAAAAAGGGCAGATGGATAGAACGAAGAGAGAACATACCAGGAGCCTTGGGGCGACGGCCCTACAGGAGAGAGCTGACCGTGGGACGTGGCCGACAACGGGGACCATAGAAACAGCAGTCAGAGGAGCAGTGCGAACGGCGGGCATACATACCTTGGTCGAGATGGGCACTTCTTTCGCGGATCTTATGAGTTGCGGTCGGGAATCGGATGCTTGTTTTCAAGGTTTACTACGAGTGACGAAGGATAGTGAGGGTCCCACGAAGCACGAAGGTCTGGAGACTTACTGGGGTGAGCCAAGACAGCGAAAGCTCATTCAGACAGCATTGACTGGAAAAATGGACGGAAACAGAGGGAGGCGAAGGGGGCAAGAGCGTGGCCCAGCGCGAGCAGATACGATGCCGGCGTCCGCGTCAAACCACGTGCACGGGAAGAAGCCTGTACACCGCATTCTGGTCCAAGAGAAGTCAGAAAAATACAGGTTGGCGATGTGGCGAATATCTTATCCGTCCCAAGCAAGTCGGCATTACCATCAAGAGTCATGAATTCGAAACAGTAAGAGGTTGGTGGTGGGAAGCAAGAGACGTATCGGTGAGTGAGAGGTCGTGAGTCGTGAATTATGGGCAGATTAAAGGTTGCTATAAGTAGAGGACCAGAACAAGACCGCTTTCATAAAATTAGCGATGAATAGCGGTTACGAGTTCCGAGGGAGAAACAATGGGGGTGGTTGGGTCCCACAGAACCAAGGGACACACGAAAGTTTGGCAGCCAGAGTCTATGTATGTTGTTCTTGCACAGCGACGTCATGCAACTTGCATGCAACATGCTTCCTAGATCTATTAAGCCAATATGATCTCTGATGGTGGCGTTCCTCGTCTGACATGTCGAACGACAAGAACGGGGTATGAGAGGGTATGAGCCAAGCGCCCTAATCTCGGCTCCAGATCTTACGGTGCCACTTCCAGCCGAGAAAAGCCGAGGCAGAGGTTTTGATGAAAAAGAGACGGGAGAAAGCACCTGTACCGCGATCACAACATCTTTACATCCCAGATTGGATTTCTGCCCGTGAGCGGAGCGAACGACTGCCTTATAACCTCGGGGACGAGACTACAAGCGCCCCCTGGTTTCTATAGTTTCAGCTTCACTCTTTCACGTCCGAGTGCCCTCCGCTGCCCACCCCTTGCCCTTATTCGTGCGTGCAGTCTCTTCCCTCTCCTTCCCCTACTCATCCATTGCCCTCGGCAGACTCAGTTGGACTCGGCGCCGGTGTACCGGCGCACGCTGTCACGTCTCCATCTGGGATATAGGCCGGTTATCGAGGAAGCATGCTGCATGACGTCGCTGTGCAAGAACAATATATATAGACTCTGGCTGCCAAACTTTCGTGTGTCCCTTGGTTCTGCGGAACCCACCCAACCACCCCCGTGGGGAGGGGGTTTAAATGCCGAGGCTGCCCATTTCTTGCAATTGCCTTTCAACAACCCACTTCCCTATCGCTTCGAAAGATGTTCGAGGTGGCCCTCATCTTATGGCTGCTATCTCCCGTACTGGGCAACACCCTCCGCTATGTTATTTTGGGCCTCTTACTGGTGTTGCTGGTCACGTACATTGTTGGCTACTACACTCCATCGCGCATGGTCGTGCGACTCGAAAAGACAATCAAGACCCTTCGGAATAATTTGAAGCACGCGAAGGCAAACTGTCCGATGGACTTGACGAAATTGGCCGAGATAGGGTGTCAACTAACCCAGTACGTTGCGCGGAGCGTTCATTTGTTTGACACGCCATATAACTTGCAGTTTACAGGGTTGAATTGTCGGTGCCTAGAATTCGGGGCCACCTATTAGATATTGGCAGCCTTGCAATGCGGAAAAAATATTTCCAAGACTTCCGAGGAATATTCAAGACTATTATGGAGTGTAACAAGGAGGTGAAGGACATACAGACGTCGGTCTTGGTGAGTAGGTTCATTATTGGGTAATTGGTCCTCAAAATAAATAATTTCGGTCAGCGTATTATAGAGGCCGAACACGAGCGTCAATTATGCATGCGCGTGGAGGAGGAGCGCAACATTTTTAATGCGCTTATGGGTGCGCTACCTCCAAACTAACTTATGTTTTAATTTCTTGACGTAATTTATAGGTCACGTGGAAGATATTGGCCTGGTTCGCCGCCGCCGTCCGAGGAATGTCGATGCTCTCCCTGAACATATGTGAGTCGGAGATACAAAGATCGGAAAGGGAGCCTTACTGTCTGGTAATCAGGGTGTAGTCCGTCTGAAGGCATGAACTGTGGGAGGCATCTTCACAGTGAAGTGTTCTCTTCGTTTTGTTGGCTGTCGCCGTTAGATAATGTGATACCCCGGACTCTCTTCATTCTCACCTTACCTATTGCTATCCTTTGCTATCCGTGTTTTCCCAATGGTGTCGGCTGCTGGACATGTATCTCTGCTAAATGGAGTTCCTTGGTTCCAAAGGTTGCGAGCGTCTTGAGCCGGTCGGAGGCGGTTCACATGCTGAGGGTAACAGTTTTGTGGTAGGACCACCAAGAGAATGTCGCCGGCAGCAAGGTTGACGAGGGGGAGGTCGAAGTGAAGAAAGAGAAGACCTGACAGGTGGCCACCACTCGGGTGCAGTTCCGACTGATCCGAGATTACTTACCCGCGAGATCCCTTTGTGCGTTCCGCGGAGTAAGCTGACAGCTGTGCACCGATGGCAGTGATGCAGATCAGTGAGACCAGCGGCACCCTCGGCACGTCAGCCCCTGAAGTTAGCCACCGCTGCTCGCTAAGCCCAGCACTTTGCCAAAGCAGCATAAGCTATGAAAGGGTAATATTGCATCCAGTCCTTTACTGAAGGAACAACCAAAAGTCAAGGTGTTTCAAAACTTTGCGCGGTGAGAATTGGAAGGGTAAACATAGGTCCACCATGGGTAGAAAGGCTCTTTTCAACCATTTGACCTGCAAATATAACATCCCAGGGCGGTGCATACAACTCACTGCGTTCCGCCCCTATGTAGACGAAGGTTCGTCTACATTATTGTACGTTGGTGTACGTGCGTCTACGGGGGTCAGTGTTCCGGCTTAAGGCCTTATTAAGGGTCTTTTTTATTGCTAACCCTTAGGATCCTTAAGATGGCCTTAATAAGGGTACCCTTAATAAGCCCTTAATTTCCTAAAGGGGAAAATCCAACGAAATTGCCACAAACAAAGAGATAGAGCTGAATTTGAGTGTTGTACCCCTACCATCAAGTTCCTCAACAGTCCAGACCCGGCCTACCCCGAAGCTGCCTCATCTCCGCCAGGGGAAATGACTTTGCCAGTCAAACAACCCACTCCGACTCATCATTATTGACTTCATCTGCAATATCATAAAAGTGGGTATGGCCAAGTTGAAATTGATATCAGGGCCATATTTTCCCCACTCAAAGCATTGCACAGTAGCTTTTTAGCTAGAATGATGGGCCATCATTTACCCTTAACGTGCCCTTAATATGCCCTTAACATGTTTTCAGCCATTTATTAAGGGTTAACGTTAAGGGCTTATTAAGGCCTACCCTTAATAAGACCTTAGCCCTTAGCCACAACACTGACGGGGGTAGACGAGGGGGGTAGACACACCCTGCGTGTACCTTTGTGCACATTATTATACGTCACTTGGACGCACCTCGGCTACGTTCGGCTGCATCCGTCTACGTCCGCGTAGACACACCCTCCCGCCCGGCCAGCTGGCTCTTGGAGCCTGCCTCTTGTCATAAATTTATGCTTCCCTTCTTGCCTTGCAAATCCTCTTCTCTGTGTCAGTTAAGCACCTAAGAATTATCCAGAAACCCAATCTATTACCTTGCTTTACAAGGTCTCCCTCCCTCGAAATTTCCTTGCCAAAAAGTGCTGAAACCAAACACCCTCTAAATACAAATAAATACTAGCATGTCCGCTCTCCGTGAAATTTCGAGTGATTGCTAAAACCAAATACCGCCAAAATATAATAAATACCAGCATGTCCACCCTCCGTGAAATTTCAATTGATTGCTAAAACCAAACATCACGTAAACAACGCGTACGCGGGTCGTAACCGAGACGGTTCAGAACCCAGCCTACTCGACCACAGGATT